TGTTGGGGGGGGGGGTTCGCTTATGGAAATGTGAAATGTTGCTCACGACCCACTTTGGAGAATTAATTGTAGTGTTAATCAGCTCGAAACGTTTTAAACAATTAACTTACAAAACAAAAGAGAAAACGTCAATTACTAATAGCCGAATGAGTGCCTTTTTTTTTTTGCACTTTAAAGACAAATCAAAACATGTTAAATGTAAAAATTTTAACTCTACTACACTGCTTCAAAATAGAAGAAAAAAAAACTAAAGCAAAAAAAACCACATTAGGAAGTCACGGTTAGAAATAAAATACAGTCGAACAATGCGGGAATTTGCCAGTAAACATAGATCCACCTCGATAGAAGCTCTCTGTGAGTTTTATTAATAGCAAAGATGAGAACAATACAGCTAACATTGTCTAAGACAGCCACTTTTTGTCGAACAGAAAAGTGATTATCTTTGACTGCAGGTAGCACTCTAACACAGCTTCATTACAAGAAAGAAAAAACCTGCGAGGGAGGGAATGGATGAAGACCATTAGTACGGATGTGAGGCAGCGTGGTGGAATCAGGCTCTCGTCAATTTTTGGGCATTTAGAGTTACTAGTATTATCTTAAAGCTTGTTCACTTGTCTTTATTATGATGAAAAAAATATCCATTTATCTTGAATAAAAGTCGAGATATTTGCGAAAGAAGGAGGTGGGGGTCACTTGTTTTCAGAGGTAAAATTAGTGTGAAAATGGATGCCAAAGATAAGTTCTTTTTTTAACTTAAAGTGTCGGTGGTAACTGAAAATTTACATTTTTAGTGCCTTTAATCAACGTTTTTCAGGGGAAAAAATAGTCAAAAATGAGTAATTTAATGGTCATGAAAGGTGTTGAGCCAAAAAACATAAATTTGATAAAAATTCAAAAACCTGCGGAAAAATGCAAGTTTCTTCACTTTGAATATTTTGACGAGAGCCTGATTCCACCACGTTGCCTCACAATTATCTTTGACAGCAGGTAGCACTCGAACACAGCTTCATTACAAGGGGGAAAAAACCTGCGAGGGAGGTAATGGATGAAGACCATTAGTACAAATGACTGTCTTATACAGGTGGATGTTGGAGCAGTTTTGGCTGTATACAGATTGTTTCAAACAGAATCCATGCAAAACAATTGCAGCTTGGCTCTTGACAGCTCCCATGTTTTTACAGCCGTTTGTGAAGTCACTGTTAGATTCATACACACTCGAATGATCTACGAATGTGTGCGTAAACATAGATCTAGATCTACCTCAATAGACGCTATCTGACAATGAGTTTTATTTCTAGGAACAAAGCGAATAATAATAATAATAATAATAATAATAATAATAATAATAATAATAATAATAATGATAATAATGATAATAATGATAATAATAATGCTAGATAGATAGGTGGATAGATAGATAGATAGATAGATAGATAGATAGATAGATAGATAGATAGATAGATAGATAGATAGATAGATAGATAGATAGATAGATAGATAGATAGATAGATAGATAGATAGATAGATAGATAGATAGCATTTGTATAGCACAAATCCCCGCTCAACAGCAATCTCTATGCGCTACACAATCTATACTACGAGTATTACCCCAACAGACCTGAAAGTATTCTGAAACGACAACTTCTTGGGAAGCATGCAGTGCAAGCGGCCATTTATAGGGACTAAAACGCTAATAATATACTGACTAGATATTTCGCTGTCTATGGCCGGGTACCGAGTCCCGCCTGGGTGAAGTAAGGAAAATTCGTCTAAAGTGCTTTTCCCAAGGACACAACGTCAGGCCCGCGGCTCGAACCCTCGAACCCACAACCTCACGATTACGAGTCATGCAGCCTAACCAATAGGCCATCGACGCCACAATATGATACAATAATATACAATCAGAACTGACCAAGACAGCCATCCATTTTCGAGGAGAAAAGTGGTTGTCTTAGCCAGGTGGACGTCTTACACGCTGTCATTATAATGGGAAAAAAAGTACTCCAGGGAAGAAATTTGGTGTGGCCGTTTGTACAGGTGATTGTCTTATACAGGTGGCCGGAGGAGTAGATTTGACTGCATACCATATAGATCATTCTGAACAGAATAAATTATCAATGTAAAATAATTGCATAGCAGCCTGGCTCTATAGCCTGGCTCTCTATAGAGCCCGCGTTTTAACTGCCGTTTGCTTCCCATAATCCTTTTTATTTTTCCTTTACTGGCGGCTTCCAACAACCTGTAAGGTACGTCTCGTCCCCTGGAACCCAAACCTGACCTTGGGTCAACAGACAGACCGGGGCATTACAGAGGTCTCGCATTGTCCAGCAATCATGTGATTATCCTGTGTAGACATGCAGATCGCTGACACTTTTACTGACCTCTCTGTTGTTCGAGTGGGGAGCAAACTGAGCAAGGAGAGTTCACAAAGGTCAGGGTAGACAAGGAGGTTAGGGAGGAGATTAATGATTGGGGGAAATAAAATAACATTACAGATTTGAGTCGGGGCTACTGAGAGAATGGTGAGGGTAGGAAGCAAAGTTAGTGTGGTTTGTTTGTTTTGTTGTTTTGTTGTTTTGTTTGGTTTGTTTGTTTGTTTTGTTGTTTGGTTGGTTTGGTTATTTTGTTGTTGTTGTTTTGTTTGTTTGTTGTTTTTGTGTTGCTGTTGTTTTTGTGGGGGTTTTTTGTTGTTTTTTTTGTGTTTTTTTTTTTTTGGGGGGGGGGTA